AAAAGAGTTTCCAAAAATGTTTAATAAATTTTTTTTGAAAATATTGTCTCTTTCACGATTTTACAATTGAGACAAATCATAAAACTAGAGTTCATTGGATATTAAAGAATTAATTACATTGTTAATCCTTCAATAAATTATAGCTATTTGACACGTGCCAATATCAAATCTATTTTTGGGAAATGGTTAAGCAAAGAAAGGATAAAAATGTCTCAAGTTATTGTGTTTGGTCAAAGGTTTGGCATTTTTGTTTACTTGATGCTCAAAGGTTTGATGGGGTAGCTTGCATGCTCCTCTATTGGAAGTGTTCTCTGATTCCCAACTTTCATGGTCACGCTCGGATTGTGCGATGCCTTATCAAGGAATTTGTGTGATCGCCTCAACTGCTCAATTTTTGTATTCTAACCGCCTTTTCAGGTTTTCAACTCGAATCCTCCTTTGGTTTCAAGACGTCATTCGTAATTTACGTATTAAACCCCCTTTGTTATTTTCTCTATCATACATTAATTATACTATTTTTTGCAAATAAAGATTAATCTTGATGGGTGTGATAAAATCTGAATATAGTCTCTTCTGTTTAGCAATTCATGTATGATTAGAAGGGACTTTTAAGGCACGTAACGTAGGTCATGGTTCATGGTTATGAAAGAAAGGGATAAAAGGCCCAAACAAGTGTTTAAGAGTGATTGAACCAAGGATCAATTCATTATGATGTCTTCAATCATATCTTGCTCAATTTGAATCTGCTCGTATGTGTCTCTCTCTTGATGCTCTATGATCTTCGAGTGGAGTGATTCAGTGATTCAGAAATGATTGTGCTTGATCAATCTCATTTGATGCTCTATGATCTTCGAGTGAAGTGGTTCAATGATTCGAAAATAATTATGCTTGATCAATTTCATAGTTTGAATCTCGATGCGTCGTTTGAATCGATAGAATCTTTGCATATGCATCTTGTCTTCTTTTTTTTCTTCATTTTTCCTTTGTTTTTTCTCTTTTTATTTTTTATTTGTTTTTTTCTCTTTTTTTTCTCTTTTTGTTCTTGATTGAATCTTCGTACTTGGCATTTGGTTCACCTTTCGGTATCTCATCTGAATCAATGTCTTCACTCATGAGAGCAGATTTTCTCCACCTTGCCCCCCAGTGTGGAGGGTGATCCTTGGTTAGGGTTGAATAAGAAGAAAAATACTATAGGCTTAAACAGGGACACAAGGAATATATATTTTCTCTTGTTGTGAAGGGGTAAAGAAAGAAAACCGTTCATCATTTCATACATGGAAGCTTTCATAGAAGAGGTATCCCTAGGGGGATAGATTTTCAGGATTAATTTTATTCACATGAAAACAATGTAATTAGTGTATGATAGAATTATTTCGAGTGAATTCTTCTTTCTGGTTCTTTCCCCCAACATGTCTCAATGATCAGGCTCCCTGCGAGATGCCCCAAGTTGTGTCTTAGAAGAATGCTCATGTTCAAATGAACAACTCAATGCCTTGGGTTTTAATGGTATAAAAATGTCATTTTTGAGTCTAAAAGACAATGGTGTGACTTTATTGACTCAAAGAAAGGTATGAGTGTATCAAAAAGATAAAGACATTGTTAAAAAATTTCAAAGGGAGGTAATGTCAAAATTTGGTCTTTTTGGTAATGACCATGAGTTATTTTGCGTAAAGAATCAAGGTATTTTATTTTGGGGTTGAGACAGGATAAGAAATGCCTAATCTTGTCATATGTCAAAAATCTATAATTCTTGAAGAATTAAAAGAATCCTTAATTCATTTAATATTCGAAGAACTAAAGATTAAAATTTGTTTAATTGTTTCACCTTAGAAAGTAGCATAAATTCAATCGTTTAAAAGATTAAGCAAACATGAAAGATCAAAGACATGTTCAAACAAAACAATCCTCTAAGTGCAAATGATATATGCAATGCCCCCTTCTTCGGCTGTCCGTGCCCCTGAATCCATCAGGTTTTGGATATCGCGCTTCAGCGCCTTATAGTTCTCAGAGGAATGTTTGGAGCATCCTATGTGGCAACTGCAAACAGCTTCAACATCGTAGCCCTTAGAATATGTGGACTCTTTTCTCAGATCATCCTGGCAGGCTTAGTCATTCAACCAGCTGATCGGGCTCATTCGTTGTGATTTCAGTTTTTTTCTTTTGATGTTACAATCTTGCTTCCATGTGGTGTTATGTGGTTAAAACCACTTCATCGAATCTTCCATGAAGAAATTTCATGTTTATGAAAATGCTTAAAAATGAAATGTAGATGTAAATTGCAAAATGCAAAAATGCATGAAATGTTCGAGGCATTGATCCAAAAATATGTCTGTTATTATAAATAATCTTTATTGGGACAAAAGTGTTTTATCTTTTAAGAGACAATAAACATATTTAAAGGACATCCGGACTAAATCCTCTAGACCCGGAACAGGTTGACTAGTCATTTGCCTTCGTCTTTCACCGGTTGAATAACCTGTCGAACCGCTCTGGCCTCTCTAGATGAACCGTGAAAATATTGAGTTGTTTTTTGTACTGGTTCCTAAAAGTATCAAATGACTGCATCTCTAGCTTTCATCCTTTGCTGAATCGGAAACTCCATTGAAATCTTCCATCAAAGAGATTATCCGAAATTCATTTGCTTGTTTCTTGAATTTGTCGACAGTGATTTGCCATCTTGTTCTTGTTGTCTTTGAATGGACTCTCGAGGTTAGTAACATTTTTCTCGTCTTGCCCCTGTCACTTTTGTCAAACCATTTTTGAAAAGTCAACTTTTGATGTACTTGATTATGGGCACTACGTCTTCTTGATCGAATGTGACACATAGTTGCCTTGCAGATTGTCATCCTTTTCTTTCTGAGTTTTTTCTGACCATAGTCGGATCCCTCCGTTCTTTATCTCTTGTATTACAATCCCTTTGTCCATTAATGCAAATTATTTATGGTTAACGAACACATTTTTTTGGTAGATCAACACCTCTTTTAAATGATGCAAATGATGAAAACGAAATAAAAGAGAACAAAAAGAGTTAGTGAGGTAAATCAAAATAAAAAAAAATCCTACCCCACATGATATCTATCTCACATGCTTATTATTCATACCCAGACATGATCTTTATCCCGCATGCTAATTTCAAACAAATCCAACCACATATTTGTCTAGTTCGCATGCTTTGAACAGAAAAGTAAAGTAGGAAATAAAATGAAAGCAGCATAGGGTTTGTAATGAGGTTTCGGGGTGGACTCTAATTACTTATAATCTCCTGGTTTAGGCTCTACAAGGTATCCGAGTTCTCCTTGCTGGTGCTCCCTTGGGTTTGCCAGACCCTTAGTCCTAAACCCATTACAAGCTTGTGTGGACTAAGTTAAACTCGAGAGGAAACATTCCCTTATGCCCGCACGGTGAATAAATTTACACGAAGACATAAGGTATATGAATCCCGAAGATTACTTGCTAGGCCCGCACGGAGAATAAATTATCGCGAAGGCGTCGCTTTCACCCCCAATTAAATAAGGTTCAGAGCTCGGGTATAGAGTCTTAGATGAAAAACTTTGAAAATATGAAATCATTTAAAAACGTCAGTACAACCGACCACTTTCAGTTGGGCCTCGACTTGAATGAATTTGGGTTAGAGTCGCCACCGACCACTTTAAAACAAATTTAGGTGGGTCGGACACCATCTTACATGATCTGCGTTGTACCAGAAACGTGTCGGGTTCAGAAGTCTGTTACGGTCAAGGAAGGATTAGCACCCTTAAACCGCCCTTTCGGTACCAATTAATTTTTCGGTTGTCTTTATTTGCGAAAATTAACATTTAAATTGAAATTCAAAAATTCAATCTGAATTAATTACCTTTGAACGATTGAAAGTATCCCTAAAAAGTTAAAAGTGTTGGATTGTAAAAATAAAAATAAACATGAGAAAAGAATAATAAAAAATATTAATATAATAATATTAATAAATATATATATATATAATAATTACCTCGGTTTTTCTAAATCGTTGCCTCTTCCTCTGATTTTGATTCCACGTTTTTCTCTCTGTCCTTTCCTCTTGATGCTTGAGTCTATTTATAGTCTAAAGAAACCTATTTTTAGCTCAGATTTAGAGTCCTACTTGGACTCAAATGCTTCAGTTTTAGTGTTTCAATAGGACTCAAATGCGTTGGTTTTAGTGTTTCAATAGGAGTCAAATACTTTGATTTATTTTTTTAATCTTATTAAATCATGGTTGTTGAGTGTGGGGCTTGCAAAAATAAAAAATAAAAAAATTAATAATAATAATAATAATAAATAAATAAATATAATATAATATTTTTGTAGACCCAAACAAAACAGGTGTCTACAATACTATATAACACTTTCTCCAAAAATATTAAAAACAAGGATGGATGTAATGGGACGAGCAAAGGATGATTGTTTTCCTAGATTCCGTATGATATATGTATATTAAAAAAATATAAATATATATATATATATATATATTATATATACTTATAAAAATAATTTAAATTTAAATCAAATAATATCATAATATTATAAATATTTATAATTAAATTTAAATAAAAATTAAAAATAATCAACTCAACTCGATTGATTCGTAAAAATTTCAATTCAATTTCAAATTATAAAATAAAATTCATTAATTCAAATAATTTAAATAATTCAAAACTTTTTTACTTAACTTGTCTGGTCGATTACTCGCCCTAATAATAAGCTGTAATTTTAACTCTTCAAAATCCATAATTTCCAATGAGTAAAAAAAAGCAGCAATTTTTAAAATAAAATTAACAGCCAACCAAACTTGGAGAAACATTAGATTTTTTTACCCATACCAGAAAATAGCCCACAGGCCACAGCCACCACCTTCCCCTCCCTTCTCCCAGAATTTATATATTATTTTCTTTTAGTTTTAATTTCTTTCTGGGTTTCAGTTTTTCCGTTTACTTCTACTTCATCTTCTTTTTGTTGTTGTTGTGGTTTTCAATTTTTTCTTTTCTCTCTTTTATCTTTTTGTAGTGATTTCTTTTATTTTGTAAATGAAATCCAAAAGTGATTCTTCTTCTTCCTCCCTTCTTTTGTTCTTCTATATATCAGCCTTTTGTTCATTACGCTGCGTTCTGGGTTCTTCTATCTGCTCTCTTGAAGCTGATGTGTTCATTAGAAATATTCAGTTTCAATGCTCTGATTCGATCTCTCCAATCCCCCCTCTTAAGGTAATCTTTTAGCTCAATTTTGGTGCAATTTTTACTTTTTCTGTATTTATTGGTTTAGGAACAATGAGTTCCTGGCATTTAATTCAAATTTTCATCAATGATTTTTATATTTATTTATTTATTTAAAATTTTTGATTCTAGCTATTTATGATTTTGCCTGAACCAGCTCAAAGAATGGAAAATTTTTATTAAATTATGGGGTTTTTAGGGTATTATTGGAAAATTTTGAAGAAAGGCTTATTATTGACCTTTTAAATGGTTAGGGTGTTGGTGTTTAATGGTATCATTTAATATGCAAAAAATTAAACAAAGGAGAGAAAATAGAAAGGAAGCTGCAAAATTTATGAAACATTTCATTCGATAATATTTAGCTTGCGTACGGAATTTGAAACCAAGATCACCTAGGAATTTGAAACATTTCCTTGTAGGTTTTTTCATATATTTGGATGATCATATTCATGTCCAGATATGTATTAGACACTAGTACTTCAAGAAAAATGAAGAGCTGTGGCATGATAGTCTATTCGGGCTATGTTGTATGCTACATACACTACTTAAGTCTTATATTCTAGGATTAAAGCCTTCTGCAGTTCAGCAGCAGTATAAGCTGGATTAGTGAAACATGTTATCTGTATTGCAAAGCTTTAATTGAGGATACGAAACATTGAACTTGATCATAGATGACTCCCATATCGGTTAAATAAATTAGGGTTGCAATTTGTTAAATAATACTATTATCTTGACTTCTTGAGCATCATTCAACTTGTATATCGGAAACGTGAATAATTAGGGTTCATGCTTTTTTTTTCTTCTAGTCATCACATTTATGGTAAGTAAACTTGCCATCCTTCTCGTAATTTAGCTTAGATCATTGTTCCACACTTCCATGTGATTTTAAGAAATGTTTTTAGGATTATCAATTTTGCATGACTTGCAATTTCTTGGAGGCAAACATTCTGATAACATGTTGTTTATGTTTCTCTGCAGGTTGATGGAGACTTTCTTGACAGAGCATTGAGTTCCAAACAGCAAAATGGTTACACTTCTGTGCTCTTTTATGCTTCGTGGTGCCCATTCTCTCACGGTTTGTGCCCAAAATTTGACATTCTGAGTTCCATGTTCCCTCAATTAGAGCATCTTACAGTCGAACAATCTTCGACTTCACCAAGGTGTGTAGCCACTTATCTGACTTTTGTTATTTTTTGTTCTTGACTAAAATGATTGTTGTTTTTTTTTTTTGGGGGGGGGGGGGAGGGTATGTATCATTTTGTCTATGTATTTGGACATTCAAGGTCATATCAATATATATATCCATGTTATCAGACATAGATGTCGATATCGGTAGTTAATGAGAAATGAAGAGTTGGAGAACAATATATGCTAATGACATTTGGTGAATCAGTTAATTGAGGAAAACACATATCTATGTCCAAATTCCGATACTAACAAAGTAGTTAGTCTTTCAAACTAATACTTTTTATACATGTATCACAGTATATTTTCGAGGTACGGAATTCATAGTTTGCCTTCAATTTTGATTGTGAACCGAACATCAAGGGTACGATACAATGGACCTAAAGATCTCCGCTCAATTGTTCAATTTTTCAAGAAAACAACAGGTATTTACTCCGAGGCCAAATATATATCCACTTCTGCTTTTGGCTTTTAAAAGCATAATGAAGTTGTAGCTCGTTAAAAGTAACCGGAGTTTGCTAGTTTAACACTATTACATTTCTCTTTACACCAATCTCTGGATTTCAGGGTTTGAACCCGTTCAATTTGTTGCTGAAAAAGAACCCAATGCATCTGGAGACCACGACAAATATATAATGTCTCGGGATGAGTCGTCTCCTATGGAGATAGTAAAACAGGAGCCCTACTTAGCATTTGCTTTGATGTTTCTCTGTTTAAGAGTATTTTTACTCGTACTCCCAGAAGTACTGTCTCGTCTCAAGGCTCTCTGGATTTCCTACGCTATGCAGTTTAACTTGGAAATATTCGGTGAGACGAGTCAGTTGCTTGTGCGAGCCCTTCACATGGTCGATGTTCGTAGAGTTTGGACCAAGCTGAGGCTACGCAAGACCCAGAATTTTCAGCAAGGTGCAAAGAGTGCCCGTGTTTGGGCTTCTTCACTAGCATCCGTTTCTTTGGGAGAATCTTCAGCTAGATCGTCATCATCATCCTAGATTGGAGTTTTATAGAAGTGAGCTATACCATAGGAGAACAAATCCATCAGGCATTGTTTTCGATGCTTTTCATGGTAAAAAATTAGCTGACCCTTATTCCCATATGTAAAGGGGTAAGGGGGAGGTAAGATAGTAGGCTGTCTCTAACGCTAGGTTGAAAGCAGCTTCCGTGGGAGACCTCCATATTATGTAAGTGGCATGTAAATCTGAGATCATCTGCGTGTTTCCATTTTTGTGTATATTATTTCTTTTTGGAGGCACAACTCTATTAATGTAAGCTTTACTTTAAAAAACTCTTCTTTCTTGTAAGTGTTGTAGAAATAAATTTGTTCTGGGGAATGTTTTTTCTTGCTCGAAGGATCTGTGTTGTTGGGTTATGTTTTTGAAAATTCTAGAAATGATCTCTTCTTCAGTCAGAAGTGCATCCAAACTAGCCGCATCTTATCGAAAGCGTTCATTGTTGGCAACGCATTGGCCTTACGTGGCAAGAACAATGTTTTCTGAATGGTTCTTTAGAGAAGGCACGATTACCTGACCACGTCTCTCATTTTAAATAAAGGCCTTATTGGTCTACATTGGCACGATTACCTGACCACGTCTCTCATTTTAAATAAAGGCCTTGTTGATCTACATTTGAAAACCAACTTTTGATACAATTGAAGGGGAAAAAAATATTTAAACCGAAATTTAACTCAACCTTAGTGGGAACAAAACTTGATTTGATTTGAAAAAATAAATTTTTTTAACTCGGTTTGATTGAATTCAACTCGAAAAAAAAAATTAAATTCGAGTCGAGATATAAAAGAACTCAAATAATTTCAAGTAATTTTTAGTAATTATTGGATTGATTTTTAAGTTTTAATTAAGTCTCTCAACTATGCATAATATTATATATATATTAAGAGTGTGAAGAAATATATATGTATATCATATATGATTATAGAATTCCGTTTAAATCGGAATTAAATAATATCATAACTTTATAAATTTTTACAACTAAAACATAAACTTGAACAGCTGAACTCGGATTATTTCATAAATTCAACTCGACTCTCAAATAAAATTTAAATTATAAAATAAGAATTATCAACTTAAATAACTTGAAATTTTTTTACTCAACTCTATCAAATACTCACCATTACACCTTAATTCTAATCAAGCGAAAAACTCAAAATTTATAACTATAGAATACATTTAAGGCTTATATAACAAATAAGTACATAAGTATTTCATCTTTTTCATTTAAGTACCTAAAGTATATTTTAGTCAAAATAAATACCTAAAGTTACCTTTTTGGTCAAAATAGGTATTTAAAGTATTTTTTTGTCAAAATAGGTACTTAAAATATTTAATTTTTTCATATAAGTACCTTAAATATTCTTTAATTAATGTCACATCTCAACTCCTTTAGAACTTAGATGAAAAAGATTAAATGGTTTGTACCTATTTTAACATAAAATACTTTAGGTCTCTATGTTGACCAAAAAGATGAATTTAGATATTTAATTTGAAAAAAATACTTTAAATACTTAAATTAAAAAAATGATATACTCTATATAATTATTTGTGATACAAGCCTACATTTAATAACTTTGTGAAAACGTAGCTCTACTCTGTTACAAAAGTGTTTTCCTGCTTGAAATATATAAGCAGTGACAAAAGGTTGCACCTAAGCAAAACAATACACAACGTTGAGCAACGCATGTTTCAAGGCATTGTCTACACTTTGGATTGGACCAAAGCCAAAAAAAACTTTGAATTGCAGTAGTGTTGCTTTGCATCTATTTTACCTTTATAACCTATACAATCTCCGTATTTTCCATTAGTAATGGAAGAATAAACTCACCCAGCATTGAATATAATTGGGGGCGGGATATAAATAAAGAAGAGATCTTCACTGAAGACCAAAAGATGTGAACTTTCCCTCCACTTATGCACAAAATAACAATATCAGTACAAAGACCCTGCACATAAAATCAATTAAATCAAACGTATTAAACAAGTAAAACATAGTTTAGCTGGATTGGTGGGTGAGGATGGGATACAGGTATACATCTGACATGAATATGTTGAATCTTTTCTGAGTTTTTTCATGAATGTGAATAATTGTTGTACAACCGTATCCCATGTCCAAAATGTGTCGAATACTGATATTGAACATGGGAAGTTTATGAAAAATGAAGAGTTGAGTAGAGCAACGAAGAGTAAAACGTAATCGAAACACTTAGCTGAATTGTTCATAAGCGAGAAAATTTATGGCACTAGATGTAAAGAGAGAAGCTCACAATCAAAAGGGCAGTAATTGATTCATTCATCCATCCATCGATTCTCCTCCAAAAGATGACCGATCACAATACAAGCGCAAAGAAGGGCGACAAATAGGTTCAGAGAAACTACAGAGGCGTGACCTGAAGTAGAGATTGTTTGCAACTTAGAAAATGCAGCAGTTAACTGTGATGTCACCATATTGATCCTTTTTTTGAATTAAAATTCCTACACAACAAACTGATTTTGAGTGTAGTAGAAATCCAAAGCTTTAGGCTGAGATTTTCCTTCACTTCCACTGCATATCTTCAAAACGGTTCTAACTTATATGGCTTCAAGAAGTTTCAAATCTCATAATCTTTTAAGAACCCTGTCATTTACAAAAGCACAGAAAAAATCAAACAGTCAAGACTCATTTCCTCTCATATTTCGTTTATCATTTTTGCACTTTCTCACCAACCAAACATGAAACATTATAAAAATTATTATCGAATTAATTTGAAGGAGCAAAAACATATGCACGAACTGTTCTCTTCTTTTACTTCTCTATCCTCTCACTGTCTCTGTAACCAAACATTCAAGAAAAAACCTTACCGAATTGTTTCGGAGAATCACGACATGCATGAAGGAAGCATTGGAATTTCAGTTTTCTTAAACATTTTTTGGTAGATTTTACAAATAATTTGCGATTTTGTGGAAACAACACGGAATTTCAAAAGGCTATTGACATCGAAGAGAAAACATAGCAAAAAAAAAGGAACCTCTATTTGGAAAATTTCTGACGTGAACCTTCGACTCTCCAACCAATCTCGCAAAAATTACAGCATTCTTGAAAAACATATATATAGTTTACGAGAATTTTCTGCATATATATATATATATTAAAAAATTGTGGATGGATAAAGAGGAAAAGAAGCAGAGTGGGTTACACATTAGAATGATGAACACTGAACACGAAGAAATCGTAAATTTAAAATTGAATTAGGAGAGTCAGATTTAATAACGGATTTCTAAATCAAGTTGTTTCTAAAGTGATGGTTTCATGTAAGACTGGGTTACGTGGGGTATAGCGCGCCCTGCTCCGCGCTATACGCCACGTAGGGGTATAGTACGGATCAGGAGCCGCACTATACGCCGTACCAAAATTATATTTAACGCGATCTCTGATCCGTGCTATATAATAATTACATATAACGCGGTGCAAGTACCGCGCCTTATATGTTTATAAATACACTCCTCCGGTTCTCACATCTCCTCGCATCTCTCCTCTCTTATAAATTAATACAACAATTACGTCAACGAGTAATAATTCTGGCAATCTTCTATATTTGAATCTATCAATAGACCATATTCAAGGAAAAAATTTGTTATACGCTGTATAAAATTATTAATATACAAAATCAGTTTTATAATTACTTTAAAGTAGTGAAAATACGAATGGGTTCTTCACAATGGACATAAAAAGGGCAATCGATACTATGCCCAAGACTGCAGCAGCAGGAGACATCCGTCGATAGCATTACGCCTGTAGTCAGTGGCTCAACACATCTCCCTGTACAGCAAAGCCAAAACTGTCGAGCCCCAACTGAATGATCCGGCGAGACGAAAGTCGCTAAGATGTCGCAACCACATGCAGTGAACTAGGTTGCGCGATTTGTCCGGCATCAGCAACTCTCCTATCAGCTGCAATATGCATGCCCGTGCATACATCTTAACCTCATCCTCAGAGGCGTCTGCGCTCAACTCCCGAAAATTGGCATCTAACCAATTTAACGGTATCCTACCTCCGATAAAATTTTCGGGACACGTCCTAGACTATCCGACACAAAGTAATCCAATAACCGAAAGCTATCTCGATATCACATTACATCCACCAGAAGCCCCAAGTGCATAGAAACATCTCAAGCGTGATCGTGCACTCTCCGCACGGAAGATGGAATGTGTGGGTCTCCGGCCTCCACCGCTCTACTAAGGCAGAAATCAGTCTGGCTCTATCTTACAGTGACCCTGATATCTACCTATGTAACCGAATACAGCCTCTACTAAATACGACAAGACACGGCTGGGTATCACTAACTTAAGATTCCTAATAAAAGGATCTAATACACGGTCCTTCTCATAAAAATAAATAATTATAAAAATTAATTCTTAATCTAATAATCATGCATTAAATAAATCAACTAATTATTACTAATAATTTAAATTAAATTAAAACGTTAAAATGTTACCGTATCAGCAAAGTGTCGAGATATTTAATTCTTAATCTAATAATCATGCATTAAATAAATCAACTAAATATTACTAATAATTTAAATTAAATTAAAACGTTAAAATGTTACCGTATCAATAAAGTGTAGAGATATATGATTTCTATCCGAGCGAAGTAGACTACCTTACATTATATATCTGCAAAAGAATTATATTAGTAAAATATTAAATAAAGTAAAATACTTAAATAAATTAAATACATAATAGTAAAAATATTATAAAATATACATTAAAAAGAGAGTATTTGAGAGAAATTTAGAGAATTTGAGAGAATTTGGTGTAATAAAAGTGATTGAGGATGGGGGTATTTATAGGGAAGATTTATAGGGAGGATTGAGATGTGGAGGGGCGGGTATTTAGGGGTATAGCGCGCCCCCTGCACCGCGCTATACCTCACGTGTCAGATACCCAGGTATAGCGCGGATCAGGGGGTGCGCTATACCTACGTGACGCAAAATCACCGTATATCGCGGGACAGGGGCGCGCTATACCCACGTGACGTCAAATCAGCGTATACGCGGTTAAGGGGCGCGCTTTACTGCTACGAATGTTAGATCAAAAAATATAATCTGACCGATGTTAATCAGTAAATATACTGATCACCGGTGATTTATAAAAAAAAACGTCATTAAACTTGTAGTGTACGGCAATAATTTGCAGTAGTCGATGGTGGTTTGTCATATTTGACTATAGTACTATTATATCTTAGTTTTTTAATCAATTAGATACTGGTTAGTCATACTTACATCAATCTTTTCACTGTGTTAATGTTCAATTCATGTTAACATTTGGTATCAAAGCATGTTTTAATTTTTGCCTTCGTTTTTCAAAAGTTTATATGTTTCTCAAAATTATGTTACCATATTTTCTTAAAACTTTGAGAATTTTTTGTTTGCAAACTTCTTTTTTATAATCGTTGAATTTGATTAAAGAAAATTTTCTAATAATTCAAAATTTTATAAATTAGATTCGATTTTAAAATAGATAAATAAAATTTAAATTATAAAATAAGATTCGTAAATTTAAATAATTAATTTTTTTTAAAACATCCTTTTTAACGGACGTGATTGTGTATCCGACATTGACCTCGGAATCGGTTAGCAAAACCATATCCATTATGTTTTTCTTGTATCAACGGATGCGGCGATATGATTTAAGATTCAATGCTTGGATTTACTGTGTTGAATATATATGTATATATAAAGAAATCTTCAAATGGGAGTTAATTTCAAGGAAAATATCTAGGGATTTTAGGGGGTGGTATAATGCAAGATTGGTGAGAATTTCAAGGTTTGTAAAGTAGCTGTAAGAATCCAGCTACCATAAAAGAATATTCAGCTTTTTTAGTGATAATCACTAGGAACACAATGTGCGTATAAATGAAGAACCCGATGTTATCCAATGGAAAATTTTCAGCTTCTTGTTGGCTCTTTTACATATTGTAAATATTTGAATTCCATCTTTCTCCATGGTGTAAAGCTTTGAAGGGTCTACCGAAGAAGAAGAAAAAAAAAAGAGATGAGAACACTTCATCAATGGCTGAAACTTGCCACCACCTGCTGCATAAACTGCTTCATTTTCATTGCCTTTGCTTCTCCTTCACTTGCAGGTTGATTTCTCTTTTCTGTTTGATGTCATTCCATGTGTTTCTGTTTTTGTTTGAATGAAAATGTTCACCTTTTGTTTTAGATAACAGTTTATGTCCGTTTGGATCCCTTGTTCGTACAAAGGAAATCGTAAGTTAAGGTAGGGAAGCAGCTGTCAATACTTGAATTCGAACCCAAATTTACTATGTCACTTCATGAGCTTAGCTATATGAATTAACTGAATTACAATCCAGATCATGTTGGTTTTATATAAACAATTCAGACCTGGTTGAGCCTTTTGTTTCTTAATACAAAGGAATTGCAACTTATAGAAGAAGGGGTTGTTGGGTACTAGAATTCGAACCCAAGCCTCTTGCACGTCACTACATAATACTCTTTGTTGACTGTGTTTCTAGATAACAGTTGGGCTTTGAATTGGACATTTTAGAAACCTTTTTCTATTCCGTTTTGTGCTTAAACAGTTTTGATTGAGGATAATAACAAAGATTTTGCTAAGAATATTTTGGAGTATGAGAACTGAAAACATCATGTAGGATTGGGAGGTGAAAGCCATATTTTCAATCTTTCTAGGGGATTTAAATAGCAATTGCAACGTGATGCTACATTTATTTTTTATGGCTTTGACCTTTTCAACTGTCTATATTAATCGTAACTGACTATGATAGACGTGAACGCGAATGAAAATGTGTCTGTGGATGCAGTTTAACAAATTTTCCTATGGTTTGCAGACTGTACCTTGAATTTCACTTCATACCCTTACTTACCAAGTGGTGACTGCAGTGGTGACAATAGGAAAGTTATCTTGTGGGGCATGATATCTTCACACCTTTGCTGTCGAAACGCCCTAAATACCTTCGCTCAAGCTCTTGCAGTTCAAGCTAATAAAACTCCATACGGTACCATCTTCATTGGACAAGATTCATGGAAACAATGCAGTTCTCCGTTTCCAACACAACAATTGGTTTCCATAGAATCTTGTGGATTCGGCAATTTTTATTCGGGCAGTTCCAAGTGTACAAATTTATCTCTGTCACAATTTCAAGGGAGTCCACTTTACTTGGAAGCAGTAAAGTTATGTTCTAACTTGAGTTCTTCATTTCAAAGCTCCTGCAGAAACTGCACTGATGCCATAGCAAGGGTGGCTGAGTTTCAATTGCAACTACTACAAAAGAAGACTCATAGTAATGAAAGAACGTTGTGTAATCTAGCCGCTGTTCTTTCGGTTTCTGCTGCAAATAACACTGATAGCTCTTTTGGTGCAAACTTGTTTAGCTGTATGTCTTCTTTAGATGTTTTTGGTAAGGACCATAACTTATTTAGAAGTCCTTTTTTCTTACGTTCAAGTCTATGTTACTCCGACTTTTCATTTTTCTTGAAGTTTCCTTGTCTAACATCTGTGTCTGGGACATTTTTGGACCTGTGTATGGAGAGAAATCCTCCAACGACTTTCCAAATACATGGGAAGACTCCAAAACATACCTGTTTCGGATACATACTTATATCTGACACTCACACCCTAGTCTGAGTAATATAAGTTCAAGATTCACTAATCCTAACTTCGAGCCTTTGTTTCCCTAACAGATCCAGGCTACATCAAAGTCAAAAGTAAGTTGAATTGCTTATCACCATCTCTTGCTGCTGTTTGAGTCAAGGATTTAAATTGTGGTAGCGGTTTCAGTGAATATCCATGATGAATGTCACCGGAGAAAGCTGAAACTGTAAAATAGCGTTTACTTTAAACCCCTGGTTTGAGTTGACATTGAAAAACCTTTAAAAAATGCTCACTGAAATCATTTTTAGGGTCCCTGGAAAAAGCTCTTCTTGCCGTCTTTGTAGCAGTCATGGTGCTGATTTTGATCCTAGTCTTGGTAAAATTTGTGGCCTTAAAGAAGGAAAAGAGCGAAAGAAAGCTTCCAACACCAATGCCATTAAAGGACAGCAATACCTGGACTGGTCTCTACAGGTTTTCAAAGGCTGAGATTGAGAAAGCTATAAATATTAACAATAGAAGGAAGAGTTTAGGCCAAGGGAGCGCCGGCGAAGTTTACGAAGGCAGGTTGCCTAGTGGACAAGTTGTGGCCATTAAGGAGATAAAGAAAGGCAACTCTTTGGATACATTCGCTAGGGAAGTTGCAGGTCTTTCCCGGATACGACATCCGAACCTCGTTTCTATGCTTGGTTGCTGTATCGAGGGTGATGAGCAGTACTTGGTCTTGGAGTATTGTCATGAGGGGAACCTTGCTCAGCATCTGCTAAGTAATTTTTTCTTGAAACAGTTACATGCTGCTTGTTCTTTTAGTAATTTGCTATTTTTTCACCCCAAATTGCAGTGTTCAAGCTTTAAGGACTGTGGCATTACAGTGCTTGGATTCGAGTCTCAAATCTGTTGAATGTCACCTTTTAAGATCGAGAATTTATGAACTCACCTGACTATGTTTCATTCTCAGGGAATGACTGTGTCTTGACATGGGATAGAAGAGTTAAGATCCTAAGAGACTGTGCACTTGGGCTGAGGTATCTCCATAGTTACATTGATGGATGCATTGTGCATAGAGATATTAAGGTAATATTGATCATAACCTAGTGATCCATCCTTATGACCTATGTCGCTCCGATCTTTCATCTTTTCTTAAATTACCTGTATCCGACACTCGAGTGCAAGTAACAATCTACCAAAGCTAGTAACTAATTATTCATATAATTGTTCCTAAATTCCTGTGTTGTAGCTCACAAACATCCTCTTGACTGAAAATTTGGATCCCAAACTCTCGGATTTCGGGCTAGCAAAGATGCTGGGAATGGAGGAAAGCAAAGTATTCACAGATGTGAGAGGAACCATAGGTTATATGGATCCAGAATATATGACCAATGCAAAGCTAACCAGTGCCAGTGATATATACAGCTTTGGCATTGTAGCCTTGCAACTTCTATCTGGACAGAAAGTTATTGAGTTGGATCTTGATGCCAGCGAGCAACTAACTCGAAAGGTACGTATTTTGATATTGATCACGGTAGTAAGGTCACTTCAATCCGGAATATAAAAATGCTAACCAACATGAATATGATGTAGGCAATGGATGTGAGCATGGGAAAACGTCCATTTACGGATTTTGAAGACCCGAGGCTTCATGGGGATCTCTACAGGAAAGATTTCGAAGCCATTTTACATATTGCAGTACTTTGTGTTGCCAAATCAAGTAGAGGCCGGCCACCTATTGATGTTGTTTTTGATGAGCTAGAGAAAGCTTGGAAAAACACCAAGGCCGAAATGGTCTGATTACTTTTACATTCAATCCCTTCATTGTTTATATAAAAATCTATCTGTTAATGCAGGATTAGTCCATACTAATTCGTTGAAACTTGTGATGCAGAAGAGGAAAGAAACCGGTACATCGGCAGCGCCACAGTCGATGGAAGTGGTTTCATTTTGACATACACAAAAGAACTTTGATTGTGAATGCAGAGGTTCATGAAGTTAATATTGTAAAATGAAAATCAGCGTATGAATCAAAATAAAGATTGGAATTAGGAAAGCTATTTTCATCATTAGACATGTATGATACATACAAAATGAAGATTATGTCAATTACTATATATATTTGTTGATTTTTAAGAGGAAGATGTTGTGACGTTCTCTGTAAGTTTATTATCTTATGAAGACTAAACTACGCAGACCGTTACTCTTCTACTAGTAAATTTACATTTCAATCATCAAATTATGAAACCTTATATTTTAATCACTAAATTTATCATTTCTTTTATCATTCAAGTCACACCGTCATTAAAAAACAAACCGAAAAATGGAATTAAAATTAAATGCAAATTAGACATTACTAAAGAACCTTTTGTTATGAATTTAGTAGTCCATATTTATTTTCTTTATGCATAAATTACGTCATAAAACATTGTATTATGAATAAGTTTACAATTGGATCATCGTATTTTAAAAAATCATAATCAGATCATTCTATTTGTTGATTGTAACGGACATGACGTTGAGATTATCTAGTCTCTTGATTCAGTTGTGAACTAGCAAAAAATTAGAAAATTTCAATAATAATATTCAAAATTTAATCTTATATTTACTAAAAATTATTATTAATATTATTATTATAAATCTGAGGTGAATACAAAGTGGTATCGAAGACTCTCAATCATATGAGAACAATGAACACTCATAACCCTAAATATGCGTTGCTCAAACTTGAGACATCAAATGATAGGAACAAATCTCTTAACCACTAAGATTGTTTGGTTCGTTCACTCTTGTTTAAAGTAATCACCTTCTTAAAACACTCGCAAAGATTAGACTCTTCAACAGAAAAATAAAGAGAAAGCATTGAATCAAACTGTCTGACCATCAAAATATTGTAATCTATATTTGCATCAACAACCCAATCATGCTTTAGAAAACAATTTCATGAATTAGACTGGGGAAAAAGGGTAAATCCCAGATAATAACAACTATATGCAACATATCGAGCTAAGTTTTCCGATATATGCCGTTGGAAAGATTAAACAACTTTTGTCCCATGGCTTACTTCTTTATCTTATGTACACAGATCACCTGCCGTCCATCAATGTTGATAAGCAATGAACTCCTTACATTTCGACTCGATCGATGCCACTATCTTCGTCAGTCTCCGATCCAGATTCTCCTCGATAAATGATATTCATGATTGTCTTTGTGGCTTGGCCGACGGCATGAGAAGTTTTTCTAGCAGCCCCTGCCACAACGGGTTGTATTGAGATGATTGGTAAACTAGCACGTTCTTGAATCATTGCTGAATAAAGAGGAAATGGGATCAAAGAAAAAAAAAGTAAGTCGAAAATCAATAAATAGCCTTTATGTTAGGCCGACTGCAGGGGATGGGGAAGTTCAAGAGCAAGTTTTTAACTTACACATGGTCTGCCGCTGAGCAAGTGAACCGATCTGCTGAATCCCGGCTTCAGCGGCCTGCATGGCTTTAGCTGATTTGTTGACGCCATCAGTAATCTCTTGGCTGAGTGTGAGTGTCAAGTGCAAACCAAAGCATTATACTTTTGCAACATGGGAAAACAAGCAGAAAGATTAAAAGTCGACGTCATATTGTTCATTCGAGAGGTCATCACATCTATTGACTATAATATGCTATGCCTCCAACATAGTTTCCCCCCCCCCCCTAAATTTTCCGTATATTTGAGGATCCTTGGAAGATCGTATTTGTATGTCAGACATGGATGCTCCGAACTTCAACAAAAATAGAGACTCAGAGCAACAAATGCATCTCTATGCAACAAAAGATGAAAAGTACAATTTAATTGTCACCTTAAATCACTTAATTCCAGTATAAGATCACTAATCTCCATGCCCGAAAGCCTAATTGCAGCCATCGTACTGGGAAGTTCCTCTCGAGCCGTATCTGCGAGCTTGGAAAGGGAAACTGCAGCTCTTCTCATTGCCTGCCACAGACAAAAAAATCAAAATAAATGTAACAATTATCAAATGCAAACTAGACCTAATCATATATCCGATGAAAACTTATGTTTAATTTATCCCGACTAAAGCATTCATTTCTTCTGACTAGGGCTCACATAGACTTTCTAAAGATCACATGCAGCTATGTTGAAACCGATTATAGTAGAGGCATATGCCAAAATCCGGATGAACAAGCATGAACTAACTTGTCAATATTGACAGTACAAATCTCAAAAAAGGCATGACAAAGTCATGCAATATTAAACATTATTTTCCATTATGCATTTCAGCCAATATCAGATCAGATCACATTCATAACATGAAAAGAAAAAGGCAAGTTCGATTCGTACGTGAAGAGGTGAATAGATGGCCAATTGTATCACATCGATGAAAAAGATTCAAATATGATGTCGGGAAACTTACAATTAGTGTTGGAACAGCGGCAATGACCAGACTTGTAAACGCCACAGAAGCCTGCATGTATCCAAGTGATTGGTATTAATCAATCAGAGAGGAAAAAGAAGAAAATTTGATAAAAATGAAAATCACAATACCGAACTTAGTCTTTAATACCAAAGGCAAAAGATGTCATAAAGAATTCAAAATGAAATACTTCCAATGCTCCCCTACCACTGCCAATTGAAAGAATCTATTCAATTTTCAATTACAGCCAAAGACACAAATCAAAATTATCTGACAAACAGTTCAACTACCATAAGCATCAGACAACTGCAAGAATCTACCAAAACTATAATAAGCTATGATCAACAAACACAAAAAGATATGATACAATTTCAAACTTCCTACATCACAAAACCTTAATATTAGAAGTTTCTTCAAATTCCTCTTCCAACCAATACTAAAACAGCAAACAACTGCATAAAGCAAGCACTTAATAACCAGAAAACAATACCCTCCAAACAATAACATAGGTTTGGGTATTAGGGTACGGATATGGTTCCAATAAGAGCATGTTAATTTTTTTTCTAAATTTTAGATATTTTCTTTGTATTTTCTATTGACAATATGTTTTCATCCCCTAAAATTTTATAAGTTCATTATTTCCTAAAATTTTAGAAGCTCGTCCCTAATGTAAAATGATGCGTCCGTCCATATCAACAATTTCACATATATTGTAAAAGCCATATGCAAACAATTGATGCCTATCAAACTTGAAAAACATACATTAAGCAATAAGAAGCACACACATAAAACATGCCAAAACAAAGAACTACCATTAAAAAAAACTCAAATAAGCGCCAAATGATATCAAAACCTTAAAGAACGACCCATTTACAGAAATCAAATATAGTATAAGAACATATTAACCACACTTTCCAAGCAATGAAAACCCAAAACAGAGCATGTTTATCATTCAAATATTCGCATACAGGAGAAAAAAATGTAAGAAAAATACATACATAAAAAAAACAAGATCCAGAAAACTCCATAAAATAGAAAACACTCACATAGAAATAGAACAAGCAAAAAACAAGAACTACCCAAAGAACCCAGTCACCTGAAAGGCCTTAAAACCATACCGTACAATAAACAAAAGCGAGCAGATAGAAGGCTTGATCACTCGAACTCATCTTCTGGGTTGAAATAAAATTGGGGACAATTGGATTACCAATTCCCACGTTGTAATTCTCGTGAGATTCTTCCTCGAGACTAGATTTTGAAGTCTGGGCCAATCCATTGGACTCCAAACTGCATTCCTTTGTGGTTGAATTGGTACAAGGAGAGGAAGAAGAACGTGGGACGAAAGAGGAAGAGGGTCTTAAAGAAAAGGGAAAAGAAGAGGGTAATTTCAACAAGGAGATTTGGGATTTTGCCTTAGAAGGAAAAGAAAGGAATTGGAATAAAGAATTTGATGCGGGGTTTGCGTTTAACAGGAGATTGAGTTTCATTTGAGGGAATCCTCGAGGAACAACAGAGTTTGAGTCTACGAGAAATGAAAGCTAAGTGTAAATTTTGTTTTAAAATAACAAAAAGGAAAAGAAAATTGAGGTTAATGGTGTACGTCCAGCAACCGTTCTAACGGTGCATGCTGTAATTTTCTCAGCGTTTTCTTGTCCAAAAGTTAAGATATGTGGTAATAATTATATTTGTTGTTAGGCTTCGGGTTAGAACACGGTTCGATATTTAATGTCAAATGACTGATAAAAAATTTTAGTAAATATTTTTCTATTTATTCTAAATTAAAAATGCTTATTTTTAAATACTGGATTTTAGTTTACATATATATTTATTCCTGCATATAATTATCAACTCTTTTGACCGTTGTTGTTATCAATCGTCATCGTCATTGATCGTCATTTTCTATAAGATTAGTATAAAAAGGTTAATATTTCATTTCTCTTTCTTCTCTAATATTATTTTTCTATGAAATTCACTTAAAATAAATGAAAATCCATCTAAATGTTTAACATTCTAATACTCTAATCTCCTCCAACGACTGTCTAATGAGACTAGTTACAAGTTATGTTATTTATATTCTCAAAATAAAGTTTCTCGTTATTTGAATTATGAACAATTCATCAAATCTGAAAAGGTTTTCAAATTCTAAAAGGATAATAAATTTTTTGTGTTTAATCAGGGATTCAAAAAATAGTCGTGTAACTGTATAACGACCGTTTTATCGTGGTATTGGCGACCTCCATTACCGATATCAGCCGAAATCACAGTTTGAAACGGAATTACACCCATAACGGCCGATAACGGCCGTAATTTAACGGGTAACGGTCGATCACAGTTATAACGGACTGTTTTTCCTGTTAATTCCGTTACAACATCAAACATCATCAACAACACAATTTTTTCAAAAAATAGCAAATAATATATAAAAATCAATGTACTTTCCAACAAAAGTAAAAAATATATATATTCTCTGTAAAACCTGTAAAAATCATTTACTTTACATCAAAATTAAAGAAGAAAAAGTAATAACAAATTCCCAATTTCAAAGAAAAATCAGAAAGGAAAAAAAAACTTTTACTTTAAAAGAATCTCACAATTTTAAGTAAGTAAAATACATGATTGTTTTAAATTCTTCCTTCTTGCTTCTTGTAACATGTAGCAACCAACATACGTATTAAAAAATTTTGACAAAAAATATTTACAAATCCATCATTTTTTGTAGTTTTGTGGATATTTTTTTTGTAGAAATAATAAGAAAAATTTAAGAAAGGTAACAAAGAAAAGAAAAGGGATGCATTTGAAAGAAAAAAACTTCGATGTTTTTATGTTCTGCCTCCGCCCTCTATTTTCACGTTAGAAGAATGATGATATTTTTTTATGTTTTATCTTTACCCTCCTTAGGCTAGGGATTTAAAGATTTTTTTTTTATTATTATCATTTTAGTTTTAATATTTAGGCATTTTGGGTTTGAAGTTTGGACCCAAAAGAACCATATAAATTTAAATAGAATGGAGTATTTAAGTTATTGTTATGGCCTTAATAATTTACCACATAAAATTAAATAAATTGTGTTTATGTATTAATAAAAGTTATAAGTATTAGAAAATATTCTAAAAATCATTAAAAGTGATTTTCTATAATTATAATTATAATTACTATATTTTATAATAAGTTGTGCGAATTTTAAAAAAATCACGTCCGCGATACTCTCAGTGACCGCGATAGCATCCGTTACGTTCGCGACCGCGATAAACGTAACGCAACCGAAAACGCGATCGTAATTTGAATCTGTGTATTTAATTTTTTGAGATATAAGAATTTTAAATAAAATTTGAAATAAAAAAGTAATAAAAAGTAATAAGACGTGTTCATCAACGTTTAGGTGGTCGAAAAAATGTTAAAAATAATTATTTATGACGATGGTTAAAAATGAGTAAAAATCCTAACATTAATAAATAAGATAATGAAGTAGAATGAAAAATCAATTTTATTAATTTTCATGTCAACATTAAATTGTCACATCATCTAATTAACAATTAAATAATTACATCGAAAAGATGATACTTTGAAGGAAAGCATTGCACTACGTAAAAAAACACTGAATCGCAGACCTTGACGACGACGACACCAAGAAGGAATTTGTTATCACACAACGGCAATAAGAAATGGCAGCGACCACCGGTTGACTAGATAAAGAACAATATGGAGGGGGATGGTGCAGTATCCAGCTATGGAGGCGATGCAGCAATTGGAGGAGCGTTCAGAAACGATGAAGGAAGTTGGATCTTTGGATTCTCTAAAAGCATAGGAAAATACTCGGTAATTCTATCGGAGCTTTGGGCATTGTATGAAGTGTTAAAACATGCGGTGAGATTGTATCTTAGGAAGATTGTGATGGAGATGGATAACAACAATGCAGTTCGGATAGCTCGTGGGACTTCAAACACGCTTTGTGATTATGTTATAGTGGAGTTAATTCGAAGACTGATTGAAAGGGATTGAGAGATGCGGATCTCCCCGATGGTTTTGCTTATGAGCTCGCAATGACAGGAGTCAATCGCGAGCGAATGTTTATGGCGTGGTGGTGAGGTCGCTGGTTTTCTTGTTACAGGCTTAATGTTTCTGTTCGGTGATTTATGATTTAACTCAAATTGAAATGGAATGGAAATTGTGTATGAGTAATATATTCAAATTTGATAGTTTGAAATGGAAACAAGTGTAGGATTAGCATATACTTTCTGTGTAAATTGTAAAAATGGTAATGGTTGATAAGAAGTATAGTACATACAAGATTATAGGATTGATCAGGGTCAATCCGTGTCACAAGTAGGGTAGATATCAAACTGGCTTTCACGCTGATTTGACTCGATAAGCATCAGAACAACTTCCCGCATCGTCGGTCTATCCGAAGGAGACATGCTGGTGCATATCAAAGCAATTTTCAGGACTGTTATCATATGACGAACACTTTTTTCATCTCGTTGATTCAGTCGAGCATCCAGTATTTCAGGTGAGAGCAAGTTATCTTGAACATAATTTCTCACCCATGTTACGAGGTTTCCGCCTTGATCTAGAGTTTGAATGGGTGATCTGCCGGTTAGCAACTCCAATAGGACAACTCCGTAGCTATAGATGTCGCATTTTTCGGTCACTTTCATGGTGTATGCATATTCTGCAGTTTAAATGATAATTTCTCATTAGTTAAATGCAATCAAAATCTTAAAGTTTGCAACATGTTAACGGAGTAAAGTTAATTACCAGGAGCAATGTAGCCATAGGAGCCTGCAATTGCCGACATTGTATTGGATTGTGGCATGTCAATGATTTTGGCTAATCCGAAATCACCGACATGAGCTTCAAACTTTTCGTCAAGCAATATGTTATATGACTTTATATCGCGGTGAAAAATCCGAGGCTTGCAATCATGATGCAGGTAAGCAAGGCCTTGAGCAGCCCCTAAGGCAATCAAGAACCTTGTTCTCCAATCAAGATTGCAGGATGTACCATGCAACTGCTCTCCCAAGCTACCTCTTGACATGTATTCATAAAGGAGGAGATTCGAACCTTGGTGATAGCAGAAACCGTAAAGCTTCACAATGTTCCGGTGCTTGATATTCCCCAACGTTAGAATTTCGGTTCGGAAGCTGTTGTCGATGTTATTATTGCCTTCTTGTTGTGATGCAAGCTTCTTAACAGCAATGGCTTGACCACTTGGTAAGACAGCTTTATATACAGTTCCACAAGCTCCCCTACCAATAACAAACCTCTCATCGAAATTCTTAGTCGCTGCAGCCAAGTCCCTGAAAGTGAACCCTTCCTTTGGGGAGAAGTAAATGTCTGAAACTTGAGTGGCTGGTGGCGTTTCTCGCAAAGTAGTAACCATTCCAACTGGCCTCCTCATGAAATATATGATGACTGTTATTATAATGAGAGAAACTCCACCAATGGTTGCAGCAACTATAGCCATAACTTTACCTAAGCGGATACTTTTATCTTTTGTATCTGGCACAAGAGGGGATGAAGATGATGGTGGATTACAACCACCAAGAGGACCTCCACAGAGGCCTTCGTTCCCGATAAAGCTGCTGATAGCCATGTTACCAAGGCGTGGTAGGGACGGTATAGGCCCTGTTAAGTCATTATATGAAAAGTTGCATCCGAATAAGCTTGATAGATTGGAAAAAGAGCTCGGAATTTCGCCACTCAAATGGTTTTTATTAAGCATAAGGTATTCCAATAAAACAAGATTTCCGAGCTCAGGAGGGATAACTCCAGAGAGATTGTTATAGCTGAGATTCAACGCAATTTGCAAGCCTGAAAGAGCACCCAATGCAGCTGGTATATTTCCACTGAATGAATTGCCCCCCATTTGTAACTCGGTCAACCGAACAAGATTTCTGAGCTCTGGAGGTATTATCCCGGACAGATCATTGTCTGAGAGCTTGAGAAGCTCCAACTGAGGTAGTTTTCCAATATCACCAGGTAAACTTCCCATAAATCTGTTCCTACTGAGATCGAGTCGTTGAAGCATTTTGCAGTTAAACAGTTCTGGTGGTACCCTTCCTACAAAAGAGTTTGACGAGACGTTAAAGCTCGCCAACTGCAACAGATTTCCTATCTCTCTCGGCAACTCCGATGTAAAGTAGTTATTGAAGAGGTGTAGCCTTTGCAAAGCTTTGCAGTTTCCAATCTCCACGGGAATAGGTCCGCTGAACGTGTTCTGGCCTAGCTCGACTGCAGATAGATTAACCAACTTGCAAAGATTTGATGGAAAACTCCCTGTAAGGCTATTTCCAGCTAAAAGAAGTTGAACTAATGATTGGCAATTTTCAACACCAGATGGAATATTCCCAGTGAGCTTGTTTATCCCAAGGTTGAGAAAGATCAGGTTCGAGTTTCGACAAAGATGCCGAGGGATCCTTCCTGTAAGTTGATTGTCTGATAAATCAACTACCCAAAGTGAGCTATAAGCCCCAAGCTTCTGAGGAATGGTATCAGTGAATGAATTCTCAAAGAGCTGAAACATGATAAGTTTTTCCAAATATTGAAACCCGGTTGGAATCCGACCAGTGAGATAATTTATGGAAAGATCAAGCTTTGACAAGTTCTTCAAACAGGTAAGGTCAACAGGGATAACACCAGTAAGCTGGTTTTCAAAAAGATAAAGCAACTGCAATCCTTTTATGTTACTAAACTCAACTGGTATCTCTCCGGTCAACAAATTCTCCGAAAAATCGATTTGTTCCGCAAATGAGAGGTTCCCAATCTCCCTTGGGATTGTTCCATTCAACTTATTTCTGTAAAGGAATAACCGCTTGAGATCTATAATGCTCCCAAGCTCCTTGGGGACCCTTCCAACAAGCTTGTTTTCATACAAAGCAAGAGTTCTCAAATTTGTACAATTTCCAATCTCTTCTGGAATTAAACCAGAAAGCTGATTACCCCAAAGGATCAACTCTCTCAAATTCTTAAGCCGTCTGATCCCTTTCGGTATTGATCCGGTTAACACATTTTGTGCAAGACCAAGATACTGCAAGCTCTTACGTGAACCTAAATTTGAAGGTAAACTCCCTGTCAACAGATTCTGACCGGCTCGAAAACTCTTTAGTCTCCTAAGATTACAAAGAGATCTTGGCAATGATCCATTGATATTGTTGCTATATGCAAGCAATTGTGTCAAAGAAGAAAGATTCCCAATCTCATCAGGGAAAGGCCCTGATAATCTATTGTTGTGTATATCAAGAGTTGTCAGATATGAAAGGATGCCTAATTCTTTGGGAATTTGATCTTCAAATTCATTGTCATGGAGACTGAGAATCTCCAAATTTGAACAATTTCCAATCTCTTTTGGAATATTCTTAGACAACCCATTGTAGGAAAGATCAAGGGAATTCAAATGAACCAATCCACCAATGCTTGGAGACAAAAAACCAGACAGGTTCATTGAACTCAAATTAAGGGACTGAACAACAACGTCGTAATAATAATAATCAATGGTGGCACAACTTACACCATTCCATCCACAAGGGGTTGGGTCATTAGGGTTCCAATTGCCCAAATTATCAAACTTGTCAACAAGATTACTCTTGATTTCAAGAAGATACTGACCCTCGGAGTTGAGCCCTTTGGATTGATGAACTAAAAGGATATGAACAAGTGTAAAAATAGTGCACAGTCTAGATATCGATGATTTCCCCATACCCAAAGGCTGAAATCAGTGTTCAAATCAAATCCGAGAAACATAAACTATATCCAGATTTTCATCAGGTTCCGAGAAAACCCAACCTGAAGTTGAAAAAAAGGAAGGAATCAAACTATAAATATACCAATACATACATTATAAAAATGAATAGAATCAAATGCATACAATAAACAGTAAAACGTAAATAAAACAAAAAAGGAAAGACATTGGCATACCTCAATGACTATGGAGTTCATTGCTACGCAACCAACTTCAGGAATTAGAGTTTTCCCAGAAAATAATTTACAAATAAACCTCGAAGGCTCAAACTTTGTTTGAAAATGATTGGGTTTATGGTGAAAGAAACTGTTTTACAGAATGATTTTCAGACGATCCTTTTCAGCTTTGTAAGGGAGAGATGACCGACAAAGAACTATTATGTTCGTCTCTCTCACTCCATGATCTCGTTGCCGTTATATATTTTATTGCTTCATACACTGGAAAAGTCTGTTTATTTTTTTTAAGTCTGTCTTCCGGATTTCAATTCTTAATTTAATCTTTTATTATTTTATATTTTCTTAATGACAGTGATGGACCTAATGTTAGTATGAAATTTTTTTAAAATTTTGGAAAAGAACGAATTTATAAAATTATAACGTAAAAATATATAAAAAATTTAAAATAATTTTAAATTTTTAAAATACGACTGCCTTTTCTCGCATTTCCTCGATCCATCTTGATGGATTTCGGTGCATTTTCAAGCTTTCAGCCAACCAATTTTGAGTTTTTTTTTTTCTTTCACCTTCCCCTTTATATTCTTTGTTTAAAAAACCAAAAATTCATTAACTACTCTCTACTATAATGTAAGTGTTAAGTGAGAAAATAAGGGAGGTCAAATTATTTAATTTAAAAATATAAAAGTTTATTAAATATTTAAGGGTAAACTATCTATTTGATCATTTACCTATTACTTAGTTTCTTTTTTAGTTACTCAACTATTATTTTTTTCAAGATCATATTAAACATTATGTTTTAGTTGTGTTTTGTCCATCTCGTTAAATTTTTATCAGTGATGTTGACGTGATATATTTTTATTTTTTAATATTGATATAGTATTACCTTATGGTGACAAGAAGTTGGCATCACTATTAATTTTTTAACGATGGGTAACCAAAATAGAAAAAAATCATAACGTTAGGTATGATTTAAGAAAAATAATTAGATGACCTAAAAACAATTAAGTAATAGGTAGGTGAATAAATTATAATTTATATTATATTTAATTAAAATTTAAAAGATACAATTTAATTTATCTAATATATACATTTATAAAAACTTAAATAATCACTAGGCCAAAATATTTGAGAGTGCGAGCCACTTTCACTCTCTTTTAGTTCTGTCAATAATAAACACTTACATACATTTAAAATTAGATTAAAAAATTTTTACTTTAATTTATCAAATGATAATCGATTAATAATTATTATTTATATATTTTAATTATAATTTTATTTGCATTTATGCTTACATAATACGAAAAAGTAATTGTTGTTATTTTTTGAAATCTGGAATTCGAGCATCATGAATATCAGGGATGTGAGCGTTCAATGTCGAATAATTGAAAATTATCTTTAAATAGATATTATATTATACTTGCCCCAGATTAATAAAAAAATATATATATGAAAAAGTAAGATATAACTGAATAACTTATATTAGCATGATCATTAAAATTTTCGTTTTTAACATCAACAAAATAATGGCACCTCATCAATTTTTAACATATTAAAATATTATAATACACTCATTAAGGGTATTTATTGAGCAAGACAGTCGCGAGTTAGATAACAATCCACAAATATATAAATACAATATTTAAATAAAATGTGAAGAATGGGGAGATAGATAAACGAACCTGTCATAACTACCGAATTAAAGATGAAATCGTGATTCAATAAGGTGATTTGTGTTTTTGAGAATTAAGATTTAAGAAATAACAAAGGTGTAAGTAACTGAGATGTAAGGAGGTGGGAGGAAGGGAAGCGTCGAAGAGTGAAGTTGGGTAATTAGAATTTGATTTTTTTTTGGTGTAGTAAAATAATAATAATTAATTAATAATTTATTATTTATTATTTATTTATTTATTAAAAAAATTAGTATTAAAAGTTATTAAAAAATTAACGAGATGCTCTCAAACTTGTCGAGTGGAGTTAGACTTTGCTCCACTCAACTCATTAAGTTCTCGAGTTTAAATTCAGGTCGAGTCATCCCAAATTAAACATTAATTGAGTTTTGACCGAGTTGAGTTTGAACAGCTTAGGAGTTGCTCAACTCATTAAGTACCCTAATACTCATCCATGCCTAATCTACTCTCTAACTTAATATCAATGTTAATCAAATTATTAAAAAACTAATATTTAAAGAAATAAACAATAACGTGAAAAATATTACATGCTTATTGGTAAAAATATCATAAACAATCAAATTTTAATTCATCAAACGTAAAATTTGCTATGCTATTAATCTATTGATTTAAATTGTTTTGATTAATGGTGACTTTGTCATCAATTTTAAATTCTGTAAGTGATTTGATTAATAATGAAATTAAGTTAGAAAATAAAGTAGGTATGAACAAGCGTATTCTAATATTATGTATCATTAAAAATTGTTAAGTGTTATCAATGTCCAAAAACTAAGAGTTTTAAAGATTTTCTTAATACAAGTCATTCTCTGTAGAGCAATTAGTTAAAAAAACTCTCGATTGACACATTCTCCCTATGATGGGTTGGGAGGGTCATCCCTATAATGGGCCTCTATAAATCCTGATATGATTAGCCGATCAATAGATCAAATAACAGTGATAAATTCAAAAAATTATCAAAGTTATATATGAAATGGAACTCATTAAATGAGTGGCCTTAGTTATAAAATGGATTGTTGTTTCCTTAAATATCTCGAGTTCAAGCAACTACTTATGCAGAGTATGTATATATTATAAAAAAAATTAAGAAAATTTTGAATATATACTACATTATAATCACCTCATTTTATTAAAAAGAACGTACTATATGATGTCATCATTTCATTCGAAAGAAAATTACATTAAATAAGAACAATTAATAAATAGATAATACCCTTTGTAAAAATAAATTAAAATATAAAATTAATAAAAAAATTAAGAAGTATTACAAAATTTAAACACAATTTATAGGCTTGAAATTCAAACTGTTGGTTGCTTGAGATTGTTTTCCATATCAATAAGGCAGTCTCTCTCTCCCCCATGTGAAAAGAATAATATTTATCCATATTCTCCTCTCTCTCTCTCGATTATTATATGTACTCAAGTCAACTTGTAATTAATTAGAATTTGGATTTTATATATACATATAACAAATTTTTCATGTCTAGAGAGATTTTAGGATTTAAATATTCTTTAAATCATTGAAATTAAGAAGTACTTATCGGGGAATAAATTAAATCAATCATTCATTTAATATTTATCTTAAAATTATATTATAACTTAAATAAAAATATTAAATAATCATTTAAATAAATTACTTTTATAAATAGTTTGGATAGTGTTAAAATTATTTTATATTTTATTAATCAAAACTCTATCAATGAGTGTTGGCACAAGTGGTTGGGATTCAGAAATTTGAGCTTGTAATGTCAAGTTCGAATCCCACCACCGTCACTCTTGGTGGGTAATCTGTAAATTCCTATGTAAATCTTAATTGGGTCTTAGGTATGCCCTGATCCTGGATTGAGGGAGCCACCCTGACTTAAACTTTAATATACCCAAAAAAAACTCTTCATTTTACTGCTAAATGTGTGGGGCAAGTTTGATTGGATAATATAATGGAGAAAAAAATTGGCTGAAACAGGTGTTGGGGATTTTATTTTTTTCAAGAATGGTATTTGCTACAGTGTTACTCGGAAGATACGGGAAATATTTGACGTTTTTCGGAGATATCGAAAATATATGACTTTTTTGGTAAAAAAAATACATAGAAGATATAACGTATTCGTTATATTATATACAGACTGATGGACTTTACAATCCAGAAGTTGCCATATTATATGGTCGTCTTTGAATAAACTATAATGTTAAAATCATTATTTTACCTAAGATATCTTTGAATAAACTCATTTATTTAACTAATTAATCAATGTTAAAATCATATGCTATTTTTATTATAGTTAAGTTATATCTGAATCTGATATCCCCATTTTACACCTATGATTTCCATTTTTTATCCACTTCTATAATTAAAATCATTAGTTTTTACTTTAAGTAAACTACCCAAATAATCCTCCAATTTTCAAAGTATTATCAGTCTAATCACATCAATGGAAACTATCTACATCACCTTTTTTTTCTTCATATTGTTTTTAAAAATAATAATGTTTATTTATATTCTTTTATATCATTTTTAAAAATCAATATTTAAATAGGCTGATGAAATGAAAGACAAAGAGTTGGTGGGTCAATCAAAGACAATGTCTATTTTCTGTTTATTCTGCCTAAACCTTAAAATACAAATGGGACAGCTGTAAGCAACATGGCTATATCTACAAATGCTCGTCATTGCTGATGATTTCCTCCATAGTATCACATTTTTTAAAATAGAGTAAACTACACATTTAATACTTCAATTATCATTTTTGTTTCGTTTTGGTCACCTAACTGGTATTTTTTTAAATCATATCTAACATTACTTTTTTATTTCATTTTGATCACTCATCGTTAAAAAGTAACAAAAATGCTAACGTGACATTAAAAAAAATCAATGATGACGTGGTATCATCTTATGGTGACACATACAATCATTATCACTGTTATTATTTAAAGGTGTATTGATCAAAATGAAATCAAAACGTAACGTTAAGTGTTTGTATTAATTTTTTAAAATACAATCAGAAATAATGTTTAATAGATAATTTTTAGATAAAATGTGTTTACAAAAGACATTTAATTCTAAATATAAAAGTAATTTTTTTACGTTTCAAAATTTTATTTTAATTAAAATTATATTTTTAATCATTATTTTGTTATCTTATAATATATTTATTTTAGAATTTTAGAATCTTTTATCAAAACATAATTATATGATTATTAAATTACCCATAGCTTTGAAAATTTTGTATCCTAACATGTCAAATTTTTTGATAAAAATTATTTAAAATTTTATATATTTTCTTGGAA